CCCAAAACCTTAGACCTTCAACCCTAGACTCCAGCTAGGTGGGAGGCAAAAGCCCAAACTTGAAGCGCACGGGAGGCTTCATCCGTCGTGGAGCGCCTTCGCTGGGTGACGTTGGGCCCCTCGATGTGTTTAGGGCTTCGGGTTTAGAGCTTAGGGTTTAGGGTTTAGGGTTTAGAGTTTAGGGTTTAGGGTTTAGAGTTTAGGGTTTAGAGTTTAGGGCTTAGGTTTTAGAGTTTAGGGCTTCGGGTTTAGGGCTTAGGGTGTAGGGTTTAGGGTTTAGGGTTTATAGGGTTTAGAGTTCAGGGCTTAGGGTTTAGGGATTATAGGGTTCAGAGTTTAGGGTTTAGAGTTTAGGACTTAGGGTTTAGGGATTAGAGGGTTTAGAGTTTAGGGCTTTGGGTTTAGAGTTCAGGGCTTAGGGTTTAGGGGTTAAAGGGTTTAGAGTTTGGGGTTTAGGGCTTAGAGTTTAGGGCTTAGGGCTTTGGGATTAGAGGGTTTAGAGTTTGGGGTTTAGGGTTCGGAGTTTAGGGTTTATAGGGTTTAGGGTTTATACCTTCCAAGAGCCTTTGTACATGAGGAATATACCCTGACTCATACTTAGGGATCCTACTCTATTTTTAAAGTACATTCCTTAATTGAGCAATAGACCCAAACGCATATTGGGTTCCTACAATAATTTAAGGTATTTTAATAAAGGGATATTGGAAGGTCTGGGAATCGGGACTCATTTTCCCTCAACTCTGAAAAGGCACCAAGAACGCTTGAAATTGCTAAGGGCCTAAGCCCGCAACCCTCAACTCTACATCGTGCCGAGGGAAGCAAAAAACCGCTTTGAAGCATTTGCCAGGACCTAAACCCTAAACCCCAAACCCTAAACCCTAAATCCTGAACTGTTGAAGCATTTGCCAGGGCAGCACTATGACTGGTCCACGAGGTGTGCGCGTTTCGGTCGGAGCTTCTGGCGTCGGGCTTGGGGTTCAGAGTCGTTGAACGAGGGCATTGTACTTTGTTCGGAGTACCATTCCATGGGGGCTGTTGTGGATTGTATAAGGGGGCTTGATTATGGGGGTTTCAAAGGCTACTTTGTCGTGGTGGAAAACCTCAAGTTGAAGGTGTCAGGGGTTTGGTTTTAGGGGCTTTACCGACCGGTTGTCTGCTAGTGTCTTTGTTGAATCTTCAAAGCACCTTCGCGGGCTTGACTCGCTTGACATCGGTCTGAGGATCCTGTTCATGATGCTAAGCCCTTCAACCTTAAACCGGACAGTTTAATCCTTAAGGTTGGGTCTAACTGGCTTACATGAAGCCCCTAACCTCTCTAGACCCTTTGGGTTCACAGAAGCCCCAGTTGAGTTCCAGTCCAGCCTTAGATATTAAACCACCAAAACCCGAGTTTCCTTTCGGGCTTGTTGTCTTGTGCCGAACATAGAGTCCACAGGAGTTGTACAAAAAATAGTTCAGATGGTTCCAGCCAAGCCCAACATCCTAAAGCCCTAAACCTAAACTCTAAACTTTAAACCCTAAACCCTAAACCCTGAACCCTAAGCCCTAAACCCTAAACCCTAAACCTAAACCAACCCTAAACCCTAAACCCTACGCTTTTAAACCCTAAACCCGGAAAGCCTTCCAGGACGTATCTGCATGGGGCGGACACGGCGAAGCTTCCGCAGGCCAGATGGGAGTTTCCGAAAATAAGGGGGGTACCTT